TACTAATGAATAATACACATGGAGCACTTACACACGTGTGTGCATGCATAGGGAAAGGATAAGGAAAGACTGAGGAAAGAGGGAGGACACTGAAATATTCATGAGAAACGGCCCTCCACTCAAACTCCTCCCCTACTGACACAGCTGACACAGAAAAGTGATTTGACTGCACATGTACAATGCATTATGCATTATACAATACTGTACGAGAAATACGAGAAATGCAAGTTGAATTCTAAGCAAAAATATAGAATAAAAGGGGCAATATTTAACACTTCTGTAGAATTTTTTTTATTCCCTTTAAATGTTTCCTTGCAAAAAAAATTATTTTGTTCTATATGGCCACTTTCAACCCTCTCTCCAATCATTTGACATTCAGGCAGTTTTTGTTCTTGTATTTTTAAGGTGGTGCCATTTTAATGTAAATGGCTGATGTTATGATTGACTAACTTCTGCTGTAATTCACACTGCTGTTCATCAGAGTGGGTCAAGTTCCTGAATATAGAATATTAATTACTATGTTTGTTATGGGTGGACTGAGGAGGAAGTGTTACACTGTATATGTTTTATTCTGTCCACATAGGACATTGATTCCTTTATTTCAAAAGAGCAAGAATCTTCTTCTTCATAATTCCTCTTTAATGTCTTTTAAGTAGACATTTCAAATAAAAGCAGGAGCATCACTAAGGTTTCTAAGGCCCTGGTACTGTTGGTTTGGGCTATCCTTCAGCTGAGATTGTAGTTACGCCCCTGCCATTAAGTGTTTAGTATCCTTTCTGTAAGAGTTACATCACCATCACTCTGCTTTCTCACTTGACTGTCGTTTTATCTGTCCTGAGAGGTACAGCGTCCTGGTTCTGTGGTCCTCCAATGAAAATGATGCTGTGCTTGAGGTTTCACTAGTGTTTTCACTGACTCTGATGGTGACTGCGGAAAAAGAGGATAAAATTACATCTGAGATCATTTGTAGTGTGTTAGTATATATGTAATTTAGTCTATTACATATATTTTAATATATAAGTAGATGTAAAAAAAATATTTTATATTATTGCCTTATATTACTTTTATATTATATACACACATTTTTTTTAAATACAGTAAAAACATTAATATTGTGAAAGTATTACAATTTAAATGAATCATTTTCTATTTGAATATATTTTAACATGTAATTTATTCCAGTGATGCAAAGCTGAATTTTCTGCATCATTACTCCTGTCTTCAGTGTCACATGATCCTCCAGAAATCATTCTAATACGCTGATTGTGGCTTTTAATATATACTTTTACATTTTAAATTATAAATTACATATTATATAATTTTAATATAATTTTATAATAATTATAATAACATTATTGATAAATTATATCTATGTTTTATATTAATCAAAGCATTAATATTAATATATTAATACATATAATGCTATATATACTTATTTCATCATATAAAACAATATTATTAATGTTGTTAGTATTATTAATAAATAAGAATTCTGAAAATAACAATGAAACATGTTATATAAAATGTTAATATAAATTAAAGAGACGACAAAAATGAATTAAAGAGATGAAAAAAAAGTATAAATTAAAGAGATGAAAAAAAATTAAAGAGCTAAAAAAAAAAGATAAATTAAAGAGATGAAAAAAAAAATCTGAGATAGGCTGTTTATGCAAATTTTTGCAGTGAAAGACACCATACATCACAGCAGTGTATTCCTACAGGTCTACAAAGAAATTTGTGTGGTAAAGAAGCATTTTTTTGTCAATCTGCATGTCATCATTCAAACATTACTTACCTTTGTGTTTCTCCATCTCTGCCACGCACCTGGAGAACATCCACAGTGGATGTGCATTAGGATGAGTAAACCCCAGCCAAACAAACACATGCAGAGGGCAGTGGTCACCGAACTCCTCACTACCACTGATATGACTGGAGCCTTCATTACCATGGGTGATCTCTAAGTCAGGTTGAGCATCAGGTCTGTATGTATTTTTAGGAGAGTAGAGTCAGTGTGCTGCTCCATACGGTCTGCTGATCTGTGGATGCGGTTATAGTGAGATCCACCTCCACTCCGGCACTAACAGTCCTGTACTCCAGCACTCTGGCCTGCAGGGAAAAGTCCCTCTCTTCAGCTCATCCACGGCATCGGTCAGACACAAGCTCTCACAGACACTCAACAGACCTGCAGAAAGTAGCAGTGATTCTCCTTTTAAAGGGGTCATCTGATGCCCATTTTCCACAAGTTGATATGATTCTTTAGGGTCTTAATGAAAAGTCTGTAACATAGTTTGGTTAAAATGTCTCAATGGTAGTGTAAAAAACACCTTTTTTTTACCCTGTC